GATGACACATCCTCTATGATATCCTATTCATTTACTTTAGGTGTCTATTTCTGTTGCATATGTTTTTTGTTTTTTTTAATTGAGGACACTGTATGCAATCTGCACCACGAATGCCACTGATCGACACTTACTGTATGCTCCCTGAGACACAGATGTTCCGTCATCAGTTAAGATGATTGCAACCACATGTGTAGAGGCTTTATGGTTTTCCATAGAGTGACTTAGCAATCACACTAATCTAAAAATATTTTATTTTACAAAGTGATAAGACCAGACTTGTTTTAGAGGAAATGTTATCATACATCATAGATTTTTCTAATATATTTAATATCTTATTTTAATCAGAAATTATATGACTAACACCACTAAATCATACCGATATACATACATCTAATATTACAGTACAGACTATCATCATGTATTCACGTAAGCATTCCAAAGATAAAAGATGTATGTTCATTTTACATGCCATCAAATTATATAAAGCAGACTTAGGTACTAGTCCATTGTACTACAGTCTTAGTAGGAGAGTGAATGGGGAGAGGAGGTGGTCACTGGAGTATCTGGTTGTGACTTATGCCGGATTTTATTTTTGAAATGTTGGAACACAAAGAACAACTCATCAAGAACTGTACAAAGTATATTTCAATGGAATGTTCATGATCTATCTTTTTATATTTTGAAGAAAAAATGGAAACATATCAATAAAGTGTCATAATTGAACATATTTCTACTATTGAGACTTAAAATGTATGAATGTCAATGCGATCTAATGTGAACCAATCTCCATAGCAGCTTGAATGAATAACTGATTAACAGTCATGAGATGCTTTTTCAGAGACATTAAAATTGCTTAAAAATCATTGAAATGAACTTAAAATAAATGAAAAAAAATGACATTAATGGTGTGTCTGTTTGTTTAAGTGTAATGTCCAATGGATGAAATGTGTGCTCCTGGGCATACTGACTTATGCTATAACATTCTGTACTGACTGTCACAGTTAACGCTTTTCATCAGCCTGTCAGGAACAGGATACCACAATACTGTGACTGATATAATCGGACTTGAAGCAAGGACACAATGAAAATCCACAGTCTTCAAAGTAATTGAAGGATGACACATCACATTTATGACTATAAAGTTTAAGAACATGGTGTATTTTGATGTCAGCATTTCCAAGAAGGTTCAAGTTTCTTTTTTTAACCAGTGACAGTTGCATTAAGCCATTGGGACATATAACAACATCATATAATGGTAATCAATAATTTTGAGGTCAGCTGTAACTGTGTCATGATATTTGAGAATGATGCAGAAATATAAGTGCTGTTTTCCTTACATTACATGTTGATATCAAATAACCGGAACTTTAAATTCTAAAATGCATGAAACCGGACATCAACATGTTAGATTCATAAGGATCTGTTATATTTCTTAACTGATACAAAATGCTTGGACCCAATTACAGATTGTAAGAGCAAACAGGAAGTGTGCACAAGAAGGACAAAAATTTATTTGAAATATTTCATTTTGAAAGAACTATGGCGTGGCGTGTGCAGCCATCTCATAGGAGTCAAAAGATTGCTCTGCATAGTTGTGTGAAAGCAAAAGAATCTAAAGCCATTTCACAGCACCGGGAGCACCTACTTCTGTCACAGCATTCCCTTATCCAAGATTATGATGCACGGCACTAAAAATATGACTACATTTAATTAACACCTGATATTCATGTATTGTTGATTTATTTTTTCCACACTCGGTAGATGTCCTTGATTTTATTGCTTTTTAGGCACATTTACACAAAGGGTCATCAGATTCATAGTAAGCAGTCTGAGATGACAGATGTCATCAAATGGGAATGTAATGTAGCAGCCCAGTGAGCATTTGTTCTGTGACTGAAGGCAGCTATAGGAAATGTCGGCAGAAGGCTTTTTCAGTTTTATCTCCTTTGTGCCAAAACATCACCTCCCTCTGGTGGTAATACACAGTAGTGTCTGCTTTGGTTAATCACAATCACTTTTAATGGACAGGACTGTGTACACATACAAGAAATTTGACTCCGGTTTTACTTTGCTCTCAATGTACATTCAGATGGATGAAGATCTATGGCTAAAACCAGTAAATCTGACTGACATCTTGATTTAGTCTTTGTTTATGTGGTTGTTTTCAATTTTTATTGCCATTTATCTTCTTGTCTTAGCAAGCGTTAAGACAGTTTTAACCACAAACTCAGAATGAACAAAAAAATATGGAAGTACCAACTTTCACTTCTAACACCTCTCCATGCAACATGCTATTTCCATTATTATTATTATTATTATTATTATTAGAAAGTGTTGTGCAATGTGACACAACCCCATGATTCCATTTCATATTTGAGATGTTATTGCCAAAAAACGCTACTAGCTAAAAAAAATACATTTTTAATTATTTAGTTCAAGGAGACATTTTGTTGTTCTTCTTTTGGTTTATATCACAATAGGTTACATTGCATAAGACAGTTCATTAAATGTAACCCCTAAAGTACCTAAAATTGGTGGATGTTTTTGGTGCCTGCTGAAGCATATTTGATACATAGCAATCCTATGGGCATGAGCAGCAGATTCAGAGACTGGAAGGGCTGGTCATGACTTGAAGGTGATGGAGGCAGAACAAGGGTCCTATTTTCTTTCAAGAGGCATTATCCTTGAAATGAAAGCTAAATAAAACTTGCATTAGCTAGATAATGATTAATGATGCTTATAAAAACATGATCTCACTTACCTGATAATAACTTCATGTAATTGGTAGTGATTGCCTTTCTACATTGCAACAAAACTACCCAAAAATAAAACCTTATTTTGTACTTCAACAGCTACTACATGAATACTACTTTCTAACTCAGCTTCTATTACTTGCCCTCTCTAGATTACAATTTAATGCACACCTAGCAAAATATCTACACAAATTCTAACAATACAGCTAGGCTAACATTATACTACAGTGCCAAAACTGCAAAACACCAGTTTTACTACATAGTATTACACATTACAAAGTCGGTAGCTAATACAGCACTTTCTGCTTTCTTTCAACAAGTAATAGAGTCATAATTAATAAAATGATCCCTTAAAGTCACACCAAAATCCCTTAAAGCTGCACCAACAAATATCCTTCAAATCTAATGACATGCTTATTGACAGTCAACAAGAATTTTTCACAAATTATCAAAAAATCCCATTGAGTTTGGGTTGGGTTGGGTTATGCAGGACAATGGGGGTTAGACCTGAAATGCAGACAGAACAGGCAAACATGGTGCGATGATTTATTGTTCATGAATGAGCTTACAGTCAGGTGTTAGTAGGCAGACCGGCAGGCATGAAGGTACACAGGTATAGGATAGCATAGCATGGGCGGGACCCCTCTGCTGCAGCACAGGAACAAGAAACAGCTGCATGATGAGGGAATGAGTTGCAGGTGAGGAACTGGCATTGTCAATTTTAAATTTAAACTGTCAGTTCTTTTAAATTAAGACTGTTCTTTTTACCACTGCCTTTAATTAAATCAAATTTAAGGCTGTAGATTAATAACTTACACTGCACTGTAGCTTTTAATGTCCTGTTTTATCCTGTTTTTATTTTATTTTTATTTTAAAAGTTATATTTCAATGTCTTATTTTATGTTTTCCTATTTTGCTTTTATGTTTTAAACTTGCCTTGCCTTATAATGCATCTAACTGATGAAGATCAAGCAGACCAACAATACTACTACAGACAAACCTAATTGGATTCCCCAAAGATTTTCCACATTCCCAAATTCGTCTCTAGTTCCATCGCTTTTAATGCTAAACCTTGTATGATGTGCATTGTTATATTTATTTTTGACGTCATGTAATACTAAATTAGCCAGTGTCTCAATTATTTAGTTTGTATGTTTTTGTGCATTTTTGATTTTGAGGAATACCTTTTGTAATTTCATTAAGTTTAACGTCCCTTTGCCAGAGTGTATTCAACCAGTTTTAGAAAGAAGCCTGCAGAGAAATCCTGCTCATCATGTCGGCTTTCCAGAAGAAGAAGCTCATTTACTACAAGGAACTTCTCCTGTGCTTTTAATGTAGTACCTATTTTTTTCTGTCTGGGTTAGGGGCCCCCAGTTGGTTCATTTGTGACAAGGCTACAGAACTCTTCAGATGGCATTGACTAGATCGCCAAATTTTTTCATCGTAGTCACTGAATATGAGGAAACTAGGATGGTAGTCTAAGCACCTGAGTACTGACGAAACTGACCCATTGATCCATATCCATTTTTTATATCAGATATTAGTAAACTTTGATTATTTCAGTGTCGCATGTTTAGGATTGGCCAAATTGATATGGACAAAATAAAATGGGTTTCTTAAAATTTTGGTTTGGTGGGGTATTGCCCCCCTTTCCCATGCCTAGGACCAGGCCTAGTTAGATGATGTTTGATAAAATTATTATTTTCTGTTTTGAAGTAATTTCCACACCTAGGAATTTCCAGAATGTTTCTATCTTGTACAGTATAAGTTCAGTGAACATAAATGTAAACACATTCTTGAATTGTCTTCATGCAATGTGATATTATCATGGGTTTGTGATTGTCTTGATGTAGATAACATTATAAATTATAGTTTGGGAAATGTAAAAGATGCAAGAAAAAGGGTTTTTGCAAAAGTATTAATAACCAACATACCCCAATGTATGCCAATACGAATCCCCCAAATTAATGCAGAACAATTTCAACTGTTAGTTATTTAGTAAAATTAACAAAAAAATATAGTAATCTAACATTAAATATTTGCTGCTTATCTGAATAAAATAGGCTATTTCTTATGTATGTTTGTCTCTACAAAAATTCAAATGCTTTTGAGGATTTAATGAGGAACAGTGAGGGACCTCTGTCAGTCAGTGTACCGTGCAGTGCCAGGCAAGGGGTGACATTTGATAGGGGGGTTGAAGGTTGTCTTGCCCCAATGCTAAAATGGAGGGAATGGACAGGGAGGGGTTAGAGGGATGCAGCAGATATTGAATTTCAACAGGACAGCATTCCCAAAAAAATTTCAAGAAGGGACAGGACAAGATCGTGGATGTTCCCTGAGTAAACAACTGGAAGCACAGTTTGAGTAGGACCTGGTCAAAAAGTTTAGCCAGCCTGCCAGTGGACTGACGGTAGACCAAACAAGCTGATCAAGGACTTTGTGTATGCAACAGACGGACATGAAGACAGCGAGCCACAAGAGCCGAACAATGTGATTTTTCACCGTGCCATTAGTGTCTGTCAGCAGCTGTTTTACACTTAGTGAGTAAAAGCTTTATCTCACTAACTGGGTACTAACATTGCTTGTTGTTTGTATTTTTTTTTCCACAGTTCACTTTTTAAATAAAATAAAATAATTAAATAACTTTTCAAAGAAATTTAGCAGCTTTTTGGGTGAATGTGTACAGTTAACTGTGATCTGTCATGGAAACTGTTTACTAAACAAACAGACACTTATACAGTGTCTCCCCTTAAGCCATTTGTTTCTAATACCGCCTGTAATGCTTGCCAAGTGAAAACCAAATCCACTGATAGAACTTTTGCTCTGATTTCAGACAGGGTTTGCTTTTGAGTCCAGTTGTTCTACAAGTTCTCAGGAGAGTGGTTTGTTGCATTCCCTGGCCTGGCATACACAAAGGGATGGACAGCAGTGACCCACAGGATGACGAAAGAGAGGGCAGAAGCAAAGAGACCGATGGAGAGGCCGATAAACAGCTGAAGAACCAGCTCAACAGTGAGGAGAAAGGCGAGAAGGAGATCAAAGGGAATGAGAAAGAGAAGAAGAAAGAGAGCCGGCGTTCTGGGTCACTATGGAGGAATGGATGGGCGCTGAGTGAAAGACTGGCCATTAATGTCTCAGGGATGCGTTATGAAACTCAGCTTCGCACTTTAGCCCAATTCCCTGATTCCTTGCTTGGTGACCCCAGGCGGAGGTCACGATACTTTGACCCACTTCGAAATGAGCTCTTCCTGGACCGCAATCGGGCCTGCTTTGATGCCATCCTTTATTTTTACCAGTCAGGGGGGAGGCTTCGGAGGCCTGCGAACATACCCTTGGACATCTTCATGGATGAGCTGATGTTCTATGAGCTTGGAGAGGACATCATGAACCGCTTCAAGGAGGATGAAGGTTTTCCAAAGGAGGAGGAGACACCGCTGCCAGCAAACGAAATCCAGAAAAGACTGTGGATGCTCTTTGAGCACCCCGAGTCCTCATCGGGCGCACGTATCATAGCCATCATCAGTGTTATGGTGATTGTGGTGTCCATCGTCATCTTCTGCCTAGAGACACTGCCCGACTTCAGGAATGAGAAAGAGACGCGGGAGGTAGGAAATGTGATTAAAGTGCACTTTATGTTTGGGAGACAGGATAGTCTAAAGAGGTGTCAAAGGTGGAGGGTTGAAAAGTTTTTAGGGTTTCCAAATTTCCTGAAGGTTAGGTGGATGGCATTATGAGGACAAATGTTGGAAGGTATCCTCCATTTAAACAAGCAATTTGATTACCTTGAGAGCATTTGTGTGGGTAACATCTGCATGATTAAAATAACTGGGAATGTCATAAACAGAGGAAACAGGATTAAAGGTCAAAGGTAAAAGGTTGGACATAAGAGAATAATAGTAGTAGTTATTTTGAAGAGGTTCTTTCTCTTGAAAAATAAACATATAACTCAATATTTTTTAATAATCCAGCCATCTAGCCTCTTGCTAAAACAGAGACAGTAAAACTGCTAAAAGTTTTTAACAAAGCTCAATTCAAACCACCTGGGTATACGGTCTCGAATGGGATGTGTGTGACTGCCTGGGTCAAATAGAAACATGATACCATGGCAAGCAGGTGTTTAGGTAAACACAAACTTGGTGAGTACTACAATGTGTAGAGAGGAAAAGTACTGACATGGGGACAACTATTTGCTAAAATGTCTGGAAGCAGACCAGAGAGATAGAGAGAGACTGAGGGAAGCTTATGGTGTGATTATTTTAGTCAGCTGTTAAATTTGATACACTTGGATTCAGGAAGCTCTAAAGGGTATGGGGAGTACCAGGCCTGGAATACAAATAAAAGGAGAGCAAGGACAGACAGAGTGAGGATACAGTTAGGTGTTTAAATAAAAGGTCACACAAGTGACCGAACACACAGGCAAAGGTGAGCCAAAGCCTTCCTGTGGCTTAGAACCAGAGACTAAAAGGTCTCACAGGATGAGACGCTTACGTTGGGTCATGTTAACACATTCCTCCAGGACTGCTGTGCTAGGCCAAGCTGCCTTTGCACAGGGGAGCTGCCAGGAAACTACTGTAACTTACTCCAGTCCAAGTCAGCAGCACTGAGCTACATTGGCAACGTTACATGGGAGACCAGGGAGATAGCGACGAAGCTGGAGATGGATGAGGAGCGATGCAGCAAGACGCTCTCATGTTTCCCTTCGGAGATCTCACAGGGTTATATTTAGTCTTAGGAGAGCCCTTGGAGCAAATCAACACATAGATGTCCACCTTTAATAATAAACACTGTCACTGACCGGCTACTGAAAGACATAAGAAATACTCTGGGTTTATTTAAACTACCCTGAAACTTTATACGTTACACACTGCCCATTACAGCATACTAAACTGATCCCTTTATATCCGTTTCATCCGTTTTCACACTTTTAATTTGATCTTAAGTGTAAGACGCTTTAAACAGCCAATATCCAATGCTTGATTGTAATGCTAACTGACACGGAAGATGCCAGCGCTTTTATGTTGCTGCCAAAACTGGGAACCAATCAGATGGTGGACAACATAACTTCTTAGTTAGTAGAAAAAGTTCTATGTAGTTTATTAGAATAGCATGAAAACAGTATCAGTGGCAGTTTGGAAAATGACATAAAATAATACTACTACTACTAATAATAATAGTAATAGCCTACATTTATAGGGATTGTTTGACATTTTGGAAAATGTTTGCTTTTATGCCAAGACATAGATGAGAAGACAGATACCACTCTCATGTCTATGCCGTAAATATGTAGCTGGAGCAACAAGTCGGTTAGCTTAGCTTTGCATAAAGACTCTAACCTGGCTCTGCTCCATGCTCACTAAGTAACAACTCATATCTGTTTTGTTCTGTTTTTAAATCCATTCAAAAAGTATAAAAACGTCAATTCATCGTTTCGTGGAGGGTTTTGACTATTTCTAGGCAAGAGATGTTGTTTTTAGAACTCAGTTTTTGTCTTCGTACAGATTAAAAAACAATATGATGGGTTAATTAGTGAGCCTTAGAGGTGCTGGTAGGTGGATTTTGTTACTTTCGAAAAGAGCCAGGCTAGCTGTTTCCCTCCGCTTCCAGTCTTTGTGATAAGTTTGCTAACTGGCTGCTGGCTTTTGCTTTACACTTCATACTTCACCCTACAAACTTGAAATTGGTGCAGTATCACTTTTCTCAGCGCAAGAAAGCAAGTTGGCATATTTCCCAAAATGTTGAACTATTACCTTATGTAGGGTTAAAGTATTTACAATCTGAAGAACAATTTGCAAAATTACAGTTGGAATTGTGCATCATTCATTCTTATGTATTTCATACTTCTGTTATCCTGTGTCCTTTTCTCCAGGAATATTTTTACAAGTACCACTCCCTGGCTAAGAACATATCTGAGAACATGTCTCCTCCACAAAATGTTTTTCATGACCCCTTCTTCCTGGTGGAGACCATATGTATATGCTGGTTCTCCTTTGAGCTCTTCATGCGTTTCGCTTGCTCTCCCAGCAAGATGCACTTCTTCAAAGATGTCATGAACATCATCGATTTCAGTGCCATCCTGCCCTATTTCGTCACTCTGGGAACAGAGCTGGCCAAGGACAATGATGCCTCTCCAGCCACATCCTTGGCCATCATCAGAGTCATCAGGTTAGTGAGGGTGTTCAGGATCTTCAAGTTGTCACGTCACTCTAAGGGCCTACAGATCCTTGGTCAGACACTGAAGGCCAGCATGCGTGAGCTGGGCCTGCTTATCTTCTTCCTGTTTATTGGCGTCATTCTCTTCTCCAGCGCCATCTACTTTGCTGAGTCTGACCACGCCAACACAGCCTTTATCAGTATACCACATGCTTTCTGGTGGGCAGTTGTCACCATGACCACAGTGGGCTATGGTGACATGTACCCAGAAACAGTGTGGGGTAAGTTGGTAGGCTCGATGTGCGCTATTGCCGGTGTGCTTACCATTTCGCTACCGGTGCCTGTCATAGTGTCCAACTTTAGCTACTTCTACCATCGGGAGACTGAATGTGTGGATCAAACCGAGTACACCCATGTCCAGACGAGCCTGCGGGAGGACGAGGAGCCAGAAGATGAGGAAATAGAGGAAGGGCATATGGATCCAGAGGGAGATTATTATGCCATTGAAGGCATCTGCAGCCCTTTGAATGGGACTCTGCTGGGTGGACTGTGTAGAGGACAGAGCACCGAGTTCAGAGGAGGAAATATGTATCTGAGGGAACCACTGGTTACTCAAGTGTAGGGAGGGTCAGTGATGTTTTATACCATTTGACAAAGACACACCAGGAAAACATTCTGAAGTGAACGAAAAAGCAGAATGAAACACAATGAATATGAATCCATAGGACTCCAGGTCCTGAAGAGAGAAACTGGCCAAGAGAAACAGGCAAATTGTGCTCATTAAAACGATAATATAACATTAAGATGCCTGCTAAATACTTTTTATTGCCTTTCCTTGTTCATTTCTTTAATATTTATTATAGCACTAGCCAGCCAAATGTCTCTGAAAGGCAACTTTTGTATAATACGGCTTTCAAAAAGCAAGAAAAAGACAGTGAGTTTTTACATTCTCAGGGTCATGATGATATAAATATAATATGAGCTATTATTTATTAATAATATCGGCTTGTGTTTGAGATGAAAATGACTTTCTGAATGTCTGTTCTGTGCCTTGAAACTATGATGTCTTAGTACTGTCGCTTTGTGGTTTAAAGTTTGAAGTGGAAGCAGATAGATTATTGGCAATATAGATGTCACGTCTCATCAAAACTCAACCAAACACCAACAGAGCTGTCACTGCAGGCAGATCTCTCGTAAACCAACCCCACATTTTCAACATTCTTCTGTAAGTCATGTACAAAGTTCACATTTGTGTAGTTTTGGCTTATGTGACCTGAAGCGACTGACATGACCTTTATCATGCTGTAATACAACACTGTAGCGTTACCTAATGACACAGTGTTACTCATTTGTGTTATATATTGTGCTATTCAAAAGTTCTGTATTTACCTGCTTAATTATGCACTCAGCGTTTTTAATAAAGACTATATTTTATTAATTTTCTTAAAAGAAGCCGTGCTTTTTATGGATCTACTGAATAATTATTTGGGGGAAACATTTAAACTAACAGTGAAAACAATTATATTTGCCTGTTAAACTAGAGAAACACAATAATCCTTCACTGCTCAGGCTACTGCATCTCTAACCACAACATTTAATCACGGAAGTCTGCCAGATCAAATCTGTGTTTCACTTTTGTATGGCCATGACTGACCTTTTCCAAAGCTACTAAGCTGTTATAAGCTATAGCTTCCAGTAGCATCGCTCTCAATTTCACTGGAACGCACAAGACTTTCCACAGCATCACAGTGATGACCCATGGAAGGCATGCATACTGATGTAACATTGCTAGTGTAAACTCTACAATGTGTTTGAGGTTTGTGTTATTGATGTTAGTCAGAAACAGTCAAAAATCGGCCAATAAATTGAAATGGGATAAAAATGTTTCTGGAACAGATAGTCAGTCAGGGAAGCAGCACTGAGACAAAAACATAACAACAAATATCAGTGGGATTGTCAGCATTACAACATTATTATTGTTAAAAATGTAAAATTCTGGAAAAACACAAAAACAAACCACAACAAGTACTAAAAATATTTATACTTGTGTGTACATGGGCTATTTATAAAGAGGAATTTCACCCAAGTAGCAGACAGAGTGGTAACACAATCTGACTTTGGGTGAAGTTGCTGGGGTACAGTGGCTACACATGTACCGTTGATTTTAATGTCAGAAACATTCACATGGGAATAATATCCATGAAAGAAACAGCTCTCTTCAACCGTTGTTTTTCAGTGCTATGGAAAAAGACAAATTAAGAGACCAGTGAAGGTTAGGTCTTTCTTTTCAACTCAATTAGGGAAAAATGTGGTTTGAAATGGTGTTCACAGTCTTGACTGCAGCAACAGTTTTGGACCCAAAGCAACTCTAGTTCAAAAATTAAGGTGTATGGTCAGGTTTGTTTATATAGCCAGAAATCAAAAATCACACATTCGTGTCAAAGGGCTTTCCAATCTGTTCAACCTATACAAAAAAATCTGCCTTTTGTCTCTGGTTTCAGTAAAGAAGTTATAGCCCTGCCTCTTACTAACTGCACATGGCAGATGCAGTAACTTTGAATCAGCAATGAAAGCTATTAATGGCAGCATTTGAGGATGTAGGATTCTCAGAATGCACTGTACATTGTAGGAAAATACCAGTGGTTAAATACAGTAGACTATAAATATATACTGTATAACAACTGTTGCCCAACTCAAAGACACAAGACTCAAATGATCACCAGAGCCCACAAACAAAGAGGTTTAGGAATCTTGGCCTTCTTTCCATCATTACTCGTTTTCCCACTAGAGAGCGCTCTTGCTCTCACTATAATCAGCCCATTTCATCACTACTCCTCCATGAAACCTGTGATCATTGATCAGAATATGTTTTTATTATATTTTGTCAATTGATCCTTCCTGTAATTGTTTCATTAAATTGCTGTGTCAATGCATGATAGACAAACAAAAGTGAAATTTATATCAGGTTTATTTTCATTCTCTCCAGTCGGATAAACATACCCGAGTACAAACACACGCTTATTGGACCAGTCACATCTGATTTAGAGAAACTCCAAAAGCCTCACACATCAAAATCAATATATGTTGCAACATTGACCATTTCTTACTCAGACACAAACATGCTCAAACTACTAACCATAAAATCTCAGAAGTTGTACTCAAAATGATACAGTCTTTAATTAACCACTAGAAATACACCACACACACAATAAATATATAAGTTAACAGCTACATTAATATTACCATCACAGAAACATGTTGAGATCCAAAACGACCAACCAATATTTACTTGTCCACTGAGAACTGAGGACTGACCATAGCATTTAGACCCATTCCAAGAAGATCATCAGAGTCCATGTTGAAAATGTTTGGTGGTTGTTCAGACACACTCTCTTCTGTCAAAGTGTTCCTAAGTGGTAGGAATCGAGTGAAGGGGCCTGTGTGTCTATCTGGGGAATGTTTTGATGCCAGAGACACAGGAAATCCATGGTGTGAGGAAATAAAACGGGTGTAGCTATCTTCCGACAGCAGTTCTCTGAAGGTGCAGTCAGCCTCTGTGTACTGCCTCTGAAAAGGAGAACAGATATAAACTGTCAGCGAAGGGCAGGAAGGAGAGAGACCTTAGGATATTTAATTGTTCTTTGCTTTCTCTACCTGGCCCATCAAATGGCCTACACTGTCCATACAGAGAAACAGAGATGATGACTTTCCCTTGATGATTACATGGCCTTGTTTAGGTGATTTCAGCTCCAGCACACCTGAAAACAGAAATATAAATAGATGTGTCCTTTTTACAAATCACCTGCTGATCTCTATTTTCTGGGCATCAGATTATCCAGTGTATAAGGAAAATATCCTAAATTGGACCATCGTCTGCTGTCTGGTACTGGTTTATCTGGCAAATACTCACTGTAAAGTGTTGGGGCATTACTTCCCGATACTCTCCCATCCAGGGTCATCTGCAAATACATCCCTCTTCTGTGATTACCTGCGACAAGAAAAAACAACATAATGAAAAATTTAAGGTGTTTAAGAGCCAAATTATTTTATCAATATTCTCATGTTTGCATTCAATCTATTACTAAATTATTAAAATCATTAGTGTTATACCTGTGTATAGGTGCCCCTCTTTGACTTGATTGTTAAAGGATAAGAGAGGGTTGGAGTCAGCGAGATAAAGTGTCAGAGAGAAAGGAAGTGGGACGATAAAGAGGAACGCAGACAGGTAAGAGAAAGAGATGTGTGGAAACAAAAACATTTGGAAAAAAAGATTAAGGCAGCTTTGAAAGAAGAATAGTAAGTAACAAACAAAAATAAATAGCCTTAATAATATAAAACAATAAACTGGAAAAATATGGCTCTGTACGAGCAAGTTCTTTTCAATCAAATTCTAAACAGGGGCACGTTTTCTGCCCTTATAAAGCAGTTTGAAGAAGGAGGTCCTACTCCATGAGAGTTACGTATGAGTCAGACATTTCTACACAATTAAATCGTGATTTAATGCTGAGAGGAAGACCTCTGTTCAAACACTATGTATGGGCTTCTTCCGTGTTGTTTACAGTAAGTGTTTCTTGTAAAATCCCAGAAGTTCAGGTTGGATAAAATACTAGCTATGAAGTAAATGCTAGCACATAAATATATATATATATATATATATATTGATTTTACTGACTTTTTTTTCCATATTGAATTATTTTACATAATTCAAGGACCTCTGAATAATGTATATTGTACTGTATGTGTGATTTATGAAAGTTCATTTTCTTGCTTAACTACACATAAGCTACAATTTTATTTCTCATCCTATTCCAACAATACAATAAATGAATTATTTTTTGTATTTGTATTATGTCAAAAATGTCAATATCCCTCCTATTACTGAATTCTGACATTGCACTACCAATTTCCATTTTAGCTTTTTAAAAACATGTTTTAGCGTGATAAGCCACTTTGTTTTGACTTGACTGACAAATATCAGTAATTATGCTTTGTCACCTGTGGACAAAACAGCTTACAGGAACTCAGGGTGATTTTCCATTCAGGCTTCCACTTTCACAAAAATATACATGTCACAACCGCAAGAAGATATAACACAACCGTATCTCTCTACGTCATCTGCCAAATAAAGTATAACAAACAATTATGAGTGGGTTTTACGTTGTTTATCTTATTTTGATATGTGTGTGTTGGAGAGGGAGAAATGAGGGAAATGGTGGGTGAAACTGATTTACAAGCAGAAGACAAGTGTTTATGTGACTGCAGCTGTGCAGTCATGAGAGGGGCTGCTCGTCAGCTTGTAGACTCACAAGTTACAGAAACACACATTACCAAGAAACTTAACTTTCACTTCACAAAGTGCATGTTTCCGTTCATTGTGATGCTACTTCAGGGGTTAGTTCATGTATATTGATGTAGGTTCACTTACTCACGTGTCATAACTGAGTCTGAAAGCTACATTAAGATGTCATAAAGTGTTATTACACTGCAAAAGTATACTATTTTTAAAATCAAATAAATCATTAAATTATTATCACATCAGAGAAAGTATTGTGGCGCCATTATTACATATGGATCATCTGTGACAGTTTCATTAAAATGTATGTTTGTATTTAATAATGAAGCTTGCTATAATAATGTTTGATAATAATAATAATGTTTCCGATTGTTGAAAGTGAAATTTAAAGAAAAATTTTCCTTCATGTTTTTGTGTGCCCGTGCTCACCCTTCAGGGTAACAAAACCATTTAATTCAGCTTCTAAAACAAATTAATTCCATGTGATTCATAAACGGGATACAGTTTTAAATATGGGACTCTTTAAGGAGATGGCCCGACTCTATTTTCTGTTTACTCTGTAAGCCTCCATAACCACTTTCTCACAGGAAGTTCCTGCACAGCTGCACCATCATGGTATGTACATGTGTACATGTGCTCATTTCAAAAATATGTGGGAGAAAATGCCATTTTACACTTAATCCAAAACAGATTATTTTGACTTGAAGGCACTGTTGGGCCTCCCCATTGTATTTCATATACGCACTATGACTCACCTGTTCAGGATACAAACACATGTACTATTTATAACCTTCACCATGTCTAAGAAACACTGGGGTTTCCTCTTCCTGTTTTGGCTCATCTCAAGTCCTGTGGTGATCAGTTCACCTGTGACTGAGCAAAAACATGCAGTGTATGTTGTGGGCTACTTAGAAGAATATGGCTGAATCAATTTCTTTGCCATTATGTATCAATAATAAAGGGCTTTAACTCCCAACAAGAAGACCATCATGTCCTTTTTATGTTTATTTCTATTCATTAAATATAAGGTGCAGTTTCTTTGAATGAAATAAACATTATTCGTAAACTGTAGTATTCATAGAATACATGACTTTTCCACCCCAAACGACAATATTAAACACTGAAATAAAAGGTAAAAACATGAATACACCAAACCGTGTCTCTTGGTATAGTCCAGGTCTTAGTTATGCCCCTGACAGCAGAGTTTAACTGTAATGTGTCCACATCCACTTACCTGTGATCTTCTGTTACCGGTCAGCGTGAGAGTAAACTACAAATAACTCCTTCAGTAGCAGTTACAGGTATGTTTTTTAATTACAGCTTTTACAATCATAATCATTATTGTTATCATATTATATTCAATTATCACCACTACTCTCCAATAATATGAATTTAAATCATAACACAATTAGTTTTTTTTCAAAATGTACACATACAAGTAGCATATCTTAAATGTCCATAATTTAAAACATATTTCCTTTTTCAACCTAAAATGAAATTACAGTCAGTCTTAAAACTAAGTATGAAATGAACGTACGGTTTAATACACACATACACACACGCGCGCACACACACACACACACACACACACACACACACACACACTGTACATACATACAATAGCAGTTATCATAAAAAAATGATAAAAATAAAATACACACATTTTACAAAGTCCTGAACCAAGCTTTCACATCATTAGATGATTGATATCATGACGTTCACTCTAAAATGGTTGATTTTGGCATGCATATTTAACACAAATGATTAACTCTTTTTTTCCGCCCCAGTTTGAACAGGATTTTGTCATAAAGCACTTTGCTAGTTGTTTCATTGTCTGTCCAATTCACATTTGTGCATCTCATGTCTGTTATGGCTTAAGAACATACATTTCATTTCACCCTGTGTACACTTAGCTTCTCCCTTTGAACCTCCCTCTCCCCAAACTCTACTGCATTGTGGTGTTACTAGGCAGAGTATGTTCTATTATCAGTCTAAATCATAGGAAGATCACCCGCAGGGATGCGTGTTGGGGTATTGTTCCCTTGATCTTGAACAGGAATGCATGTCTCCAATTTCAAAACAATAAACTCATTGTGTCAGTATTGCCATCTCGCACAGACAGGAGATGTGTTCACAATAGGCAATGGTCACTTTCTACAGAATCAAACAGCATCATGCCACAACTATGGATCCAGATGGCGTGTGAGAGAGAGGGAGGGAGAGAGAGAGAGAGAGAGAGAGAGAGAGAGAGAGAGAGAGAGAGATGGATAAACAGACATCCACTCATTATTTTATCATCTTTTCATACATCATTCACTCATTGTCTTTAATTCTTCGAGACATCTGGCTCGAATGTTGTTGGTCATCTTCTAGTGTCCAGTTTTTTTTCTTCTTCAAAAATGTGGTTCTTCCTTGGGTAAGGATGGAGGTGGGGATTCTACAAAATGCAATATAACACACTTAAAGAACCGTAATAGCTCCTGCTCAGATGAGATGTGTGATTTGGTGTTCACACAAGCTATTTTTATCCCCCGATACAGTCGTGAGTGAGGGTGCTTTTCTCACCTGGTGTGCTTATCTTTTAGCAGGAATATGTTCTCACGGACCCCGATTCTCCTCTTGGACCAGAGTTTACTGACAGAGAGAAGAAGCTTTTTAGTAAATTTGAATCAATGTGGAAAAACAGACCTAAATCAGTGTAGTAGTTCAAACTGAAAAATGCAAAATTGTAAAAATAAACTTTGTTTAGTAGGTTTTCTGTTCTGATTCTAACTGGTCCAACAATGTATTCAAAAAGCCACCACAACATTTGAAATTGACTCAAAATCAGGAAACTGTGGTTTTAATTGTAGATATATTGCCTTTAATGCAAAAGGCTTCTTTAGTTTTATACTATAATATGTGAGGAATAGTGTTGGTATTGCTTCTGTAAGGCATCATCTGTACAGTGGAGCTACTATCCTAAAAATACTGCCAGCAGACAGTTAGCTTAATTTAGCACAAAGACTGGAAAAAGGGTAAACAGCTAGTTTGCTTTGCCCAAAAGTAACCAAATCTGCCTACCAGCACCTCTAAACACGTTAATTAGTGAGCTAGTGAGCTAATAAGACTAGCTGACACCCTTTTCCCCCAGCTTTTGGGCTAAGCTAAAGTAATCAGCTGATGGTGGTGAATTCATATTTACCACAGAGACAAGAGAGTGGAGTTAATATTTGATCTAACTCTCTGCAAGAATAAGCATATAAACCAAAACACTTAACTATTTATTTTAAAATCCTGTTTTCACCCTTTGGTGTGAGCCAAATAGCTATGTCGCTGACAGTTTCCTCATATTGAAATGGCTGTTTATATCTGACTGACATGTTGAAATTGCCCGAAATTTCAGACTGTGTCACCACTTAAACAGATTTTTTGCCTGACTAGGCTGTGTATGGGGCACTTCCTGTATTTCTTCATATCTAAAAGACCAGCTTCTCTGGGAGGGTTGAAGTGTCCCAAAATCAAAACATAACATAGCTGAAAGACATACCACAGCTCCAAATGCGCACTATCCTTTTCACAATAATCATGACTGTTTAACTGTTTTAGGCTTAATTTTCCCCAGAACTCTTGTTAACTGCTATTTGTTAATACGACATGGTTGAAATTGCTGATGCTGGAGCCTCAAACAAACAATTCACCAACAACAGCACAGTCTCTGCACTCAACTCTTACCAACAACACAACCACAAAATGTTTATGTTGATGAATAACAATCACAATATTTAAATCTCTAAAGGCTGGATTTACTAGTACTGACTGAAACCAACATGTCAGCTTGGAAGAAAAGTAGTGAAAACACTTTGTTTGAAAAATGGTTGTCTGTAGTGTGAAATTTGTAGCTAATAAGCATTTGTGGTTTGTTAGTAAGTGCTAGAATCACCACTGATTTGCATACTAGGCTCCAAAGAGTTACTGTCTGGTACTGCATGGTTAGTTGTGTTGCCCTGCTGAAGATTGTTTCCAATTCTCTTTTTGTTCTTTTGGCATTATATAAAGTAGATCTCATGCTACATCTCAACATAAGCTCCTGAACGAATCATGAAATGCTTCTGTCCTTTGATTTGGATTTGGAGA